CCAAAAGTTTTCGGGTCGGGGAGAAAATGGGGGCGGGATCCCGCCAAACCCCTCATTTTTACTTTTCCTTTTTCTTTTTTTTTCTTTTTTTTTTAATAACTAAACATCTTTTCACCGTGCACACTAATTAAACAATATCTGATTGCAATAGCGCTGGCACATCAGCAAAACTCCGTCTGCAGTTGTGTTCACATTCCTCCCCCCCCCATCTGTTAAATATTAAACAGACACGGATTTTTTTTTTCCCTTAAAAAAAAAAATGTACAAAAGGTTTTAATTAGACATTGGCCCCCAAACCCGCGCTCCAGCTCTAAGGCGCCTCCTGCCCCAAGGCTGCGCGCGGGCTTTGGCCGCTGCCCTGGGCAGAAATGGTCCCCACGTTGGATCTGCGCGTCATGGGATGGGCTTCTGCAATGGCCATTCTTTATCATTCTTTATCATTTTTGCTGCTCTTACTGCTTGCCACATTGTCAGGCCTCCCGGAGGCCCCGCGTGCCCCTTTTCCACAGGGAAAAAGCTGTAGGAAAGAAGCCCGACAGCTGCTGGGCTCGTTGGGCCCATCATTGAACATCACATACAAGGAATGTCACTGCTAGGGACATGCGAGCACGAGTGGCACCCGTCCTCAGCCTCTGCAGCCAGCAGCCCTTCTCTACCCGTTACCCCGTTGGAGGTGCCTAGACCAGGCGCTTGTCCCCAGCTCGAGAGCTCTCGGCAGCTTCACGTCCTCCTGCCACCACTAAGATCACGAGTGTGACACCGAGAAGGCCCTGCCTGGCGGTGGCCCTGGCCCCGGCACCCTCTGAGGCAGCTATCCCATCAATCGGATATTTTCCAGGCCTGGAAACATCCCCCATCAGAGAAAACTTTCCACTGTCCCTTGACGTTGAGCACTCAGAGCCATGTCTCAGTGCAACACGTGGTTGCGAATGGTGAGAATCTGCAGTATTTTTGCTGCTGCTATTGCTAAAGACCAACATGCCACCATGTCAGGCACTCCTGAACCACGTGAAATGACCCTTTCCAGGGAGATTGACCAGCCCTTGCTCACCGGGCTCTTTGCAAGGGGGGCTCCAACCAGGACAGCCCCCACTGCCACCAGAACTTGACTGATCCCTTCCCAGCACTTGCATCTTCCACTCACTTTTGCCAAAAAACGCCCACTCACGCTCCCTCTTGCTGCTCTAGCAGAGCAAGCCAAGCCGTTATCATGGACACTGGAACCCTCAGACCACTCCACTTTGAAAGCAAGTCCCTTCAAGTGCCATTTTGTCATATTTACAAAAGCATAAAAATGTCATTTAACCAACTACCTTCCTCCAAGCTGCCTCAGGAGCGCACCAAGCAACCAACCAACCCACCGAATCCCCTAGGGTCCCACAAGCAGCCCACCCAATGCACTTGCCATCCCACCGGCCTCTCCCATGGCCACCAAAAGCGGGTGCTCGTGGGCCAGGAGCACGAGCCCGGGGACGTACCTTCATGGTTAAACATGCACGGAGCACTCCGGCCTCCCAAGGGCTGAGGCGGCCCCATCTCGTTTTCCGCATGTCCCACCAGAACATCTCCTTCCATCAACAGGGTAGATTCACCTGCCGCCATATGGGATCTCTTGGGAGGAAAATGATGAACTACGCAGCATGGCAGGAACCAGAAGGGCTTCCATCCTTTCCTTCATCTTCATCAATTTCTGGAAGTCCTTATCCATAGACCTGCAGGGACCTCTGCATTTAAGTAGCAGCTACATCATCAAGAAAGTGGAGTATCTTTAGAATTTTCTTCTGTTTTTTCCAATCTAAGCTTGGTTCTGAATTCCCAGGCTGAAGAGAAGGAAAATGAAATATATATATACATATATATGTGTGTGTGTGTTTGTGCTCTCCTTGTTGAATACTGCCCTGCATCACATCCACAGCCAGGACAGAAGTCAGCCTGCAGCACCAATAAGGAGTCATTCCAGATGAAAAGAAATTGTGCCCAGCAAAGCAATGTATTAAGATAAATGTTTTTTTTTCCTTTTTTTTTTTTTTTTTGTGAGAGCTTTTTGGGGACGGGTAGAGAAGAATGGATGTGTTAAGGGCCTGCGAGGCCACTGCTTCACCAATGTCTGGCTCCAGAATAGATAGCACCAGGTTGTTGTCTCCCTGCCGCAAGCTGGGCCAAGCGGTGGCAACAAGTTAAGTCTCCGAAGGCGACACCAGGGCTCTCCCGGCTGCAGTTAATTTTGGGCCAGGCAAGCAGAGACCCAAACGTTGTCATTTGGCCTTGAAAGCATCCTCTCAACATGCCCAAAGGAGGTGCTTGGACCACCCTTGCTGATAGTCCATCTGCACCAGGCCAACTTGGCCATTAGACATAATGGCACTAGTGCAACTCAACTGTGCTCCTACAAAAACTGAGGTGAGGTCAAGATGATGTAGGATGGAAAACAAGGAGTAAAGAAAGGAGCCCCTGGAGCTCCTGGCCTCCCCAGCAGGATCCATGCGAGTCGGACGGGAGGCGGTGGTGGCATCGCACGGTCACGCGCTCCGCAAGCCGGGCCGGTCGCGCCGGTGGCCACGTTGATAAGGAGATCAAAGGCTCGCAAGGATTGCACAGAAGTGCTGGGAACGGCCTTGATCAAAACGAGGAAAGCCCCGCGCACGGGAGGCATGAGAGGTTTGCAACCCACATGTGAACCTTTGAAGTTCTTCCCTTTTTCTTTTTATAAACTAGTTATCATCATTAGTTTAAGAGGTATAAAACTGATCATTTGTATAATCTCTCTCTGTACTTGAAGTGAAGAATATTATCCACACACAGGCATGCTTTTGCCACAGAGGAAAAAGCACTGCCAGAGATGCTCAAAAATAAGACAAGAAAACACACAATTAGTTTTACGGGATTTGAAATTCATTTCATAAACCACTATACTTTTGTTACTGAGTCTTGCCAGATAAGTCTGATACATTTTCTCTTCCTATAATCCTTTTAACATTTCCATTCCCCCCTACAGACTTCTTTCCTTGATGTTTTGTTCAGTGCACTCCCTGCTATCTGCACACGCTTGGCCAGATTTTGCAGACTTAAAAGGGGCCCCGTATCGGCATTAAATGTTCT